AATGAATCATGGTAACAATTAAAAATTGCTTAAGAGTGAACTAATGGAACTCACGGTATGGATAATATTTTACGTATAACATTTTATTATTAACATGTACATTATTAGTATGTATTTGTGAAAATTTTAAATTATATTGGTATTTAAAAAATTCATTTTAACTTAATAATTAATTTAACTTATTAATTATGTTTATTCTATTTTACTTAATTTTAAAGTGTATAAAATTTATATTGCATACATGTTAAATAACCTAACAATAGTTTATTCTTAATAAATGAAAATAGAATTAATTTAATAAAATTACATTTTTAATATTATGTTCAAAAAAATATTATAAATCACAAAATGTATGTAGAAAAACCAATTGCATCAACATATTATAAAAATTAATTGGATATTTAGTAAAAACTGAACGAGCTTTTAAAATTCAAAAATTTTATTAGAATTCCCTGTTACTATATTAATCCAATAGTTGCATTCCAAGTTATATAATATATAATTAAAAGAATAATTATAAAAAGTGTATTATGTATTATTTACAGTTTTATTTAAACCAAAGTTAATTTATGAATATGAATAGTTATTTTGAATTATAAATATATTATATTAAAAATTAATAATATATTTATAACTAACAGTTAATATATAAAAATATTATTTGAAAATTTAAAATTTTATATTAAATGCTAAATTGGCTTTAAATATTGAACCAGATGAACCTGAAGCAAAATGTTTAATTTTAATGTCTAACACATTGTTGTATCAAAATAGACAATCACTAATCAATATAACTAAGAAATTTGTAAATTGGGGGGGGGGAAACGAGTATATAGTGCTTTTCTTCCCCTACCAACGCCTAGCAACAACCATTTCACGCATATCGCAAATAGATGTATAATTTGCACATAAAGCGTATGTTTTATAATAAGTACTCTGTGTATAATGGTTAGAACGTCTGACTTTGAACTGAATTGCCCAGGATCGAAACCAATGGACAACAATACTTTTTTTTTGTTTTTTTAAATTTAAGTTAAGAGAGAGAGAGAGAGAGAGAGAGAGAGAGAGAGCATTTCATCATAAGCTAAAACGTTACAACTATATAACACTGTACAGTGTATAGCACTAATAACGATAAGCTAATACAACGATAAACTTTCAGAATCTGATGCACGCGCTGTGGACTTGTAACTTATTAGGAATAAGTTATTAATAACTTTTATTAAATATATGAATAAATATTATTTTAATTTTTTTTAAATAATTCTAGATTTCTTAATAAAATAATGTAAATTAGTATAGAAAGTATTTAATTATAATTTACCGATTTTATAATCTTCATTGTTAATAGCTGAATTGATGTTAAAAATAAAAGTAACATTTACATTGCACTCAAACGTACTCAATCAATGTAGAAAAGTCACTCATGAAAGCGAGTAAATATTGCCGCAAATTTGGCATAACTGCCGAGGTGGGTTTTAATTTTTTTGGCATGGCCAAAAGCTAGTGTGTCCACATCGCTCGAGGTGGGCGGTGAAACGGGTCAAGAGTCACGTCACACCCAGGGTCAACAGGTATCCATGAGCAAAGAGTTTAAGGTATCCATTGAGAAACAGGTGAACGTACCCGAAGATCAGTGTATAAAAGTAGTTCAATACGTCAATTGGGTGGAGGGCCTGACCCTACCCTATACGGCCACCGTTCACGTGGCTATCACTCGCAAGTCTGGCGCAGCTATTGATGCTATTCAGACGAACAAATTGAGCATGATATTTTTTGGCCGCGACTCGCAGGGTGGCAGCATGGAAATTAAGTTTAATACGAGTGGCGAGTTTTTGTGCACATTTGCGTTGAACACAAGTATTTCGGTGCGTAAAGTTGGCAATAATTGCCAGTGCGAGGGTGATGTAGATAATTCAACATGGTCAGATGTACAGCTCGTTCCAGAGAATGTGACCACCTTGCAATTGGTTGAGTCAACAGTTCACTCGGTTCGATCATCACGGTCTAACTCTGCTAATAATTTCATTATGGAAAATTGTCATACTTGTTTTATTGTAATGATTATGAATATATTGTTTAATTTCTATATTATAAATCATTATAATAAAATGAGTATTTAATTTTAAAAATGTTTAATGACAATTATAAACATTAATAAGTAAGTGTAGATCCGGACTCTCCAGTTTTAATGTTATAACAGAAATTGAATTATTATATAATAAATTATCATGTTTTCATAACAATATATAAAATTATTGATAGTTACAGATTTTGTATGAAAAAATTGAATTAAAATTGTTTACAAAATAAATTAAAATTAAATAATAATATAATAATTTATCATTTTTAATAAATATTATTAATTGAATTTTAAATCTAATTAAGACATTAATTGATTTTTTAAGACATTTTTTACATTATTAATATAAGTACTGAAAAATAAACAAAATTGTTTTCACAGAGTTTTTGTGATTATAATTTTATCAATAAAATATTTGCTAAGGTTTGCAAACAAATAATAAAAATGTGTGTCTATAATAAAAAATTCTCAATATATAATTATACAAAACACGCAAATTACTTATTATTAATGATTAATAATAATTATTAAAAAAGTTTCCTTGTATGCAATGCTAACTTAATCAACTATACATAAATACAACTATGCTTGGATTAGCTCATGTTTACCTCAATACAATTTAAACTAGACGTTGATTATTTGCAATAATGTTTGTCATAATAGCAACATGCTTATTTTTGACACAGTTATATTCAATGTCGTGCTCCACCGACACACCCGTACCACTAATTGATAGCAACACTAATCTCGAGCTACCCATATATACGAACACGTATTACGCGATCAAAAACCAAGGCACCGGTCGGTACTTTATATTTCATAAAACATACGGTTTTGACACGACTCGTGATACACTGGACGTTTGGTCAGTCCGGTTTTGGTTCGTGTTTAAACATGATGGCTTGTATTACTTGAGAGATATGCCTAATATTACAAATTATAAGCCGTATAAAATCGTTAAAGCACCCGACCAGGGATATTATATATTGACTAAATCAAATTGCCNTATGCCTAATATTACAAATTATAAGCCGTATAAAATCGTTAAAGCACCCGACCAGGGATATTATATATTGACTAAATCAAATTGCCGTAAGTATTACGGTTAAAATGTATATGATTATCTCTTTCTTTCTTTTATTTTTTTCTCTCTCTCTCTAGCACTTGCCTCTTTCAATGGTCCTGATCCTTATCCTGATGACGATTGTGGCACTCCGGACAAATATCCTAGTATTAAACAAAATTTTATTTGGGAACTAATCGTAATCTATAGCGAAATTGCGCGCTATTACAACGTGGACGTGACCATGGGCAATTTCAAATACAGCACACCTTTGGCACAGGCACTGGAGCAACACAAGCGACTTGACGTACTACAAACGTCAACTATCATCAATTGCGGTCCCGCCACCATATCCGAGAAAGTGACCGTGGACAAATCACGTACGCAAACCTACACTGTAAATATGGAGAGCTCTATTACGAAGGCGAGTAAGTGGTGCAATAAGTTTGGGGTTGGAGTGGAGGTTGGGTTTGACTTTTTTGGTATGGCTGAAACTAAAGTGTCCGCCAATTATGAGCATAGTAAGGAAACGAGCGATGAGCAACGCAACGCCCAGGGTAATTCTGTGTCCATGAGCAAAGAGTTTAAGGTATCCATCGAGAAACAGGTGAACGTACCCGAGGATCAATGTATAAAAGTAGTGCAATACGTGAATTGGGTGGAGGGCCTGACCCTACCCTATACGGCCACTGTTCAAGTGGCCATCACTCGCAAGTCTGGCGCAGCTATTGATGCTATTCAAGCGAACAAATTGAGCATGATATTTTTTGGCCGCGACTCGCAGAATGGCAGTATGGACATTAAGTTCGATACCAGTGGTGAGGTTATGTGCACGTTTGCATTGGACACAAGTATGTCGGTGCGCAAAATTGGCAATAATTGCCAGTGCGAGAGTGATTCAGATAATTCTACATGGTTATCTGTACAGTCCGTTCCCGATAATGTGACTACCCTTCAATTAGTTGAGTCAACAGTTCACTCGTTTCGATCATCAAGGTATAACTCTGCCAATAGTTTTGTTATGGAAAATGGTCATGCTTGTTTAATTGTGATGATTATAAATGAATTGTTTAATTTTTTTTAATTATAAATCATTATAACAATATAATTGTATAATTAAAAAAAATAATAATAATAAATTGAGTTTTCGTTCACCAGTTATAATAATTATAGCACAAATAGAATTATTACATAATGACTTACAATGTTTTCATTAGAGTCTATTAAAATTATTAATAGCTACAAATATTGTATGAGGAAAATGAATTAAAATTGTTCACAAAATAAATTAAAATTAAATAATAATTATAATATTATTATTTGAATTTTATTGTACATCTAATGATATGGTTTATTTAATAAAAACTTAAGCATAAAATTGCCGGCGCTTTTGTTATTTTTATATCAAGTAAATATAAGTATATCAATGTAAATATATCAAGTTTATAGTTGTTATATAAGATTAGAGCAAATCACAGCACTGAGTCTTACGGGAGCCGCGGTATAGTAATAGCATTGGAGGGAACGGCCCGGGCGTTTGTAGTGCACGCTATGAAAGGCATTGATTACAATAAAGTGTATGTGGTTTTGGTGGTAACCAATGCTATCCATAATGTCAGAGACTATAACAGAGATCTGAAAACTGGTGGTCAAAATGGGTGCACAATTATGTAAATCCGTAGATCAACATTATCGTAACAAAAAATTGTTTTGAATACTAGTAAAATTGCAACTATCTCAACGCTTTAATTCTACAATAATTTATACGCAATTTTCCTGTTAATTAAACAATAATGAAATTAATCTAAATTTTGTATAAACTGTATACTAACTAACAAATTGATCATAATAAAGATGATACGTTTGATATATAAAATAACGGGGACTTTATGAGCATATTTTTATTAAACAGATAAACAAAATTTATCATGAGAATTCAGCCACATTATTCTTGTTAAGTAAATTACAGTTAAAAATACTACTTATAAATCACAAGAGTTCTTTATTTCATTTAGACTTATAAAGGTTAACAAATATTTTAATTTTATATTTAACCAAAATATGATAATAATAAATTAACTATAATATAATTGGTAACTAATAATGCAATTACAGATTATATTTTTATATTTATAATTTATAAATATATTTAAATAAAAGATTTGCATTCTATTATAATGTTAGTATACTAATAATAATAATAAATTTTATCTTGCATTAAGATAAGATCATACAACAAACATTGCAATATTATTTAAAATTACAAATTATTACCACTTAACGCAATGTAATAACTATTAGAAATAGTGTGTGCATTTCCACTGTATATAAGTTAAATTGTAGATAATTTTTTAAAAACAATTTTAAAAATGTTTTTATTTGATTAGAAATTAAGATAATTTCAAATCCGCAACGTTCCCAATAGTTAATTTTATTAAAAATTGTATATAATTTTGTTATCTATACACTTATAATTAACAGTTCTTATTATACTGTTTTAATAATTGCTAATGTATTCATATAAAATGGTGATGCCAAAATATATGCCCACATTGATTCAAATGCAAATACAATTTTTAAATAATGTAATTGTTATATAATAATCAAACTTGTAATTATATTTACAGTTATATTTTAATAAAATTTATTATTATTAAACAATTTAATAATTATATTGTATGATTAAATAATTTTATTATCTATTTCTCTCTCTCTCTCTCTCTCTCTCTCTCCCATTACTCACAACACATTATTACTATATATTGTTAATAATATGGTAATAATAATTTTATATGCGTTAAGATAAGATTCTATTAACCGTGATATTCAAGAAAAATTATATTATCATTGTCATTTACTTACCTCATATACAATCGTAACTAACTAGGTTATTATCAATTAATATATAATACTTGTGATTAAAAAACTTGTGTTTTATTGTCTTAATAAAGTGATTTGTTAAATGTTTTGTAATATTTTTTAAGCATTTTTGTGATAGTTTTAAATATGGCAGCTGTTGAAGCCATTAATGTTAAATTAATTGTAGTGGCAAATGGTAAATTTGCTGTCGATTATGATATACTTAAATTTATTGATTATGGTGGTTTTGGTAAGGTCTATCAAGTTGAATTTAAAGCTGACGGTCAAGTTTATGCAATTAAGCAGATTGAGTTACTGAAAGGTAAAATCACGATAAATATTATATAGTTATTACAATATAAACGTATATATAATAGTAATAATAACTATTACAATTCACAATTATATTAATGTAAAGATGGTATGATAATTTACTATGATAATTTATAACTCGTAGTGTAATTTATAATACTGCTCATTTTTATAATAACTTTTATATTTATAATAAATGTTAAAATTTTAATTACAGAAGAAAGAAATGATGTATTAATCAACCGAGAAGTAAGAATTTTACAAACGTTAAATCACGTAAACGTGGTCAGGTATCACGCAGCCTGGAGAGAACATGGCACACCAGATGTTGAACTTGATAAAGTTTACATCAAGATGGATTACTGCGATTACAACCTTCAACAAGTGTACAATATTATCACGGGCGTATATAAGCGTAAAACACATGAGACAATATGCCCTGTGTCATATTTTATTAAATAGTCCGGGTCGCAACATACACAAGGTGTGGGCACTTTATCATATAAAGCGCCCGAGGTGAAACATGGCGGCGAGTACAATCATCAGGCCGATGTGTTTAGCCTGGGCATTATGCTAATGCAATTTTTTGATGTAAATGTTAACAAGTAAGCATACTTTTAATTATTATTTAATGTAATGTAATTTTGTAAAGTGTAACATGTTTATTTTAATCATAAGGCAGGACATACACACGGAGATAAAGGACCTGTTGACCCGGATGATTGCTGGCCGGGCGATTGATCGACCATCATGTTCAGAAATCATGGTCATTATTGCTCAACCATCAATTAATTATGATTTGAATGTCGTTCTTGCCGATCATCAAAATATATCTCGTTTGGATCAACATGACTTTCTACATACCTATTATGACCATAATATGAGAATAAAATTTGCAAATTAAAGAGAGAGAATATATTATTTCAAGAAATAATATGTTATTGGTTTATTGTTACAATATTTAAGGTTTAAAATTTATTGATTTTTATTTTTATTAATTTAACAAAATAATAAAGTGCGGACAAGATATGCACATTTAGTCACTTGATTAACAATATTAATAATAGTTCTAAATTAATGAACATGTTTTATTAATTAACAAATGATTCTTTATTGTACACTTAAATGTTAACTATAAAAGTTTCAAAACAAAAATTAGAAAACCTAATATTTCCATTTTTATAATTAATTTAATTTAATGAATACATATAAACAACTGATTGAGTTCACAGTTTTTGAATATGTTGTCCATCATTATATAATCTCCTTTAAAACCATGCTAATTTACACATGATAATGATAATTTTGTTATTTTTATTAAATTAAGAAATATAACTAAACGTTAAATTAAACAAATACATGTAATACTTAATGATTGTATATTGAATGTATTTTGGCTAGATGAATTTGTTATAAAAATATTACATAAGTTTCAATTAGCTTACAATAATAAAAATCATTTGCAGCATTTATTTGTTAAATTAATTTATGGACAATTATAATGTAAATATTATAAAATAAAACATCATAGATCTTGAATACCATATGATTTATATTTGTAAAATTATTAATGTAAAATATAATGATATAAATTTAATTACAGTTTATTGTTCAACAATTCCTCTCATTTGTTTATTATGATTGACCCGATTGTTAACATAATCCGTGAGCTCCTCTTTCCCGACCAGAGTTTTTAACGTTTGTAAATTTATTTTTGTGTTGTCAACACATTTGTTATAATCCAAATGATCATGTAATTTATTTATAGACTTATGATAACTAATCAATAGTTTTTATCATATTGAAAACAATTGAACAAACAACGTCACTACTAGCGTCTGTTTGTAATTGATGACAGCGTATAGCACAAATAAAGTGTAAAACATTTTAGTAAATATTTATACAAATGTTCACTTTTAAGTATGTTATTTTATGCCTATTAATCAAAAGTATAAAAATAGATATTTTATAATAGATATAAAA